CCCGGCACACAATGGGACTCAGGGGCCTGCAGACCATCGTCCAGGCACGCACCGAATTACCCGCAAGCCTCAAGCCAACTCAAGGGCGCGCGTACACACAGCACACGCTGACAAACACACCAGGACCAACAAAGTGGTGACTGAGGAGAGTGCCCAGCAGCGGGACAGGGACCTGCCTGCTCACCAGCGGGCACAGCAGTAGCCTGGCACCCATATACACAGCCACCCGGAGTTCAGTACCTTTGCCTAGCCTGAGGTTTTGGGGGCTCCAACACTGGCTGCTTGTTTAGCTGAGTGCTGCAGCCAAAATGGGAGAGCTGGAGCCCTAGATGAGCATCGGACCTAGAGAACCCCGTGTGAAGCAGGCAGAAACCACACTGCACCAAGAAATGGCACCGTGGTAGAGTATAAAGCAGGCATGCAATACATGTGCCAGTATGTATTCTGTGCCACATGTGTCACGCACAGTGCTAGTGTTTGGACAGGTGCCTACATAGAGACCATTATTTATGTGAAAACAAGCAGAGGAGATGTAAATGGTTCTAGGAATAAAAGTAACATGTGTGTACCGATATAGCTACCAATATACACCTAGGAAGATGTAAAGCAGAAAATCTCTTTCCAGCTTATGAGTATGGTTATCAAGCTGGCATACTAGCCCAGGCGTCCCTGGTGGGCTCTAGTCTCCTTTCCAGGGCAGAGGGGATTGTTTGGTGCCATGGGAGCCCTGTGCTGAGACTGGATTATGAAAGAACCATATGTATCTGATCTATAATCAAGCTGCCAAAAAGGTGGTATTTGGGCAGCTTTACGGGGGAACCCTGCATCCCCAGAAGGTCTGGAAGGTGTTCTTGGCCGCAGCAGCCGTGAGAGTGGTGCTCAGACCTGCCTGAATGGTGACGGACGGATGGAGCCTGCCTGCCGGCAGGAATCAGTGCCGCACAGGCCGTGCTGGGGAGAAACACAGACCTGCTCAAGGCACAAACAGAGAGGTCCTGACAACCAAGCCCGGGAAGACGCTGGCAATGTGTGGGCACAGATGTCCAACTGGATTGCCAGGGAGATGAATTTCGTAGGAGAGAAGATGAGGTTAAGAGATATTTATGTGCACACACAGAGCTCCACAGGTTTGGAGCTTAATTATTGTGTGGGAGAGTTACTGAAGTAGGAAAGTCCATAGATCAAAAGAGAAAGGCTAGTGAGTCCCCCTCCTAGAATGCTGGGGTGTGTGGAGACGGGTGTCTAAGGGACAGACCCAGAGGGGTCTATCCATTGTTCAAATGACTCCAGATTATTATACTATCATAAGTGCAGAGCAATGCGCCTGGTGAAGTTGCAAATCTACTCGCCAATTTCTGGGCTGAGCCTGGGGAAGAAACAGGCTGGCGAGAGGGCCATATCCCAGGTCTCTAACATGGGAGGGAGAATGGAAAGCTTGGCCCCGGGGGCTGGCTGTCACTCTCTTCATCTGTCCTATCCTTGACCCAGTTTCTGGTGCCTCTCAGCACATTTCTCTTTTTCTCCTCTAGGTCTCAGTAGCCCCTCTCCAAGCCTCTACCCCTCTTGGTTTCTTTCTCCGCCCAGTTTGTCTTTCTCTCACTGCCTCTTCAGCCCTTTTACTCTTCTGTGCTACCCAGCCACAAAGGAGACACAGCCAGACCCAGGAGAAAATATAAACACAAATGCATGCCATAGGTGCAAGGATCATGGGTGATAAAGCCCATCCACCTTGTTGGTCTATATAAATATACATGACAGAAAATTTTCATTTTTGCATAAAAATCTAAGTACAACCGTGAAGTTTTGTTTCCTTCTGGTCTTTTGCCTGCTGTCTCCTTGAGTGTCTGTCTCTCAGGGACGCTTCTTCATGCTACCACTCCAGGCCCTCGACCCACCAGTTTCAATAATCCTACCTCTCCTCAACATTGTCTTCTTTGGAGTTTGCTTTAGGTGGGCAAAGGCTTTTTTGAGACAGAGATAGCTAGATAAACACTTTGCAAGCAGGAACCCAGAGAGAGACATTTGAAACTTGAAATAGATACTATCTCTAGGACATAAAAAGGGTTTAGGAAAACTCCTTTAGTCCACCTGAAGGTTGGAGGCCTCTTCCAAGTGGAGTGGAAGAAGAATATGGTGAAGCTCTGTAATCCCAGTCACTGCCCCATGGTCACCAAGGGCCAGCAGAATCCTACCCAGCCAGGCAAAGGAAGAAGTACCCAACTCAGTAGGCAAGTCCCTGGAATGATATGGAGGAAAATCAATACAAACCATAAAGATCCCAACTTCCCAACCACAGATTTGCTATAAATAATGTCTGAGTACAAGGGCGAGATGGAGTATGAAAAGGGAGGCAGTGTTGTGACTCCCTGGAGACTGAGGGCCCCAGTGGTGGAGATCTGGCTGGAAAGCCTGACACTGAACCTACCTACAATAGCACAAACCTAAGGGAAGAGAAGGGGCTCCAGCTCCATCTTGGTGGGAGAAAGGAGGGTCTGGAGATGGACCTTGTCGGTGTGATCTGAGCTTGTTATGTATTGGTTGGAATGAATGAATACACCAGAGACCACTGCCTGGGGTCCCAAGACCATTTACTAGGTGGTGGAAAAAGGGAAAGGATTTGATAATGTGGGATGGGCTCTGGATTCAGACTCAGACTCAGCCTCCAAGTCAACAGGGGGTGGGCAGGCCTGGCCCCCCATGCTGGCCCCGTGTCTAGCGAACCTGGCTGGAGAGGGCATCCCTCCTACCTCCATATAAACAGATCCTTGTTTTCTAACCACATCTGGAATATTTGTGCCTTATTCTACGTGAGTTTGCGACTCCAGCCCTGGCTCCTTCACTCTCTGTGAGCTGTGGCTCTGTCTCTTTCAGTCTCCGTCATTGCTTCAAGCTTTTCTGGCTTCATCTGTCTCTGTTTTCAGGTCTCTGTCTCTCCCCTCCTGCCCACCCCCCCACCTTGAATTAGCCTTTGTTAATTCAAAGGCTTCTCACTGAGCTCCTCCCCACTCTTCCCAGAATAACATTGAGTAAAATGAGATAAAACTCTCCCGCCCCTAGGTTTTTTTTCCTGTCCTACTCCCCTCAGCCCCCTCCTCCAGGGCTACAACCCCCTCTTATAATGTCAGATAATTGCTGGTGTGCAGCTCTGAGGAGCCAGAACTGATACCAGGGAAGGAGAAAGGGGGAGAGAAATAAATAATAATCTGCCTCCATTCAGCGTATATAGGTTACCTGATTTGCATATATGCTAATAATGCTATAATTACCCTGCTGTTCTGGCCTATGATCAAGTTCTATAAATATATAGGATATCAGAGCTAGGCCTAGCAACACCACCCCTGAAATCATACAGTATATGTATGTGTATGTGTGCATTTTATGTGTAATCTAGACCTATGAGCCTGTCTTTGTTAGAACACACTCCCTGGCAGATCCCAGCTCTCCTGGCTTTCAGCTACCCCTCCTGCGTTTTGAGGCATCTCCAAGGGAGGAGGAAAGAGATGCGTGAATGAGAAAATATTCTAAGTTATATTTAATTCTTAGTATTAGTTTCATTATGAATGCTATGGCTATTTTTAAGAAAATCAAAGATTTCCCAAAATTATTGAATTAGTTATTATTAGCGACATGCCCCCACCTCCTACAGGCCCTCACTTTGGGCTGTGGGCTGGGGATAGGAAGAGGAAGCCTGTATCTCCTGGGCCTATTGAGATGTTTCAGAAGATGCTTTCTATGGGAGAGCAAGTGTAGTCCCTGTCCCCAAATCTGCACCTCATGCCTTAGTCTCCCTACACGCTCCCCACTCTTGCAGGAAACCAGGGGGAAGATGCGCAGGGGGGTGTGCAGATTTTTGGGTGATGGTGGCAGAAGTGGGGAGGAAGCTTGGAGGAACATAAAAGGCAATCCACAGCTGTCTGCTTTTAATTATAATTATCCCCTTTTGCTTCCTTTCTGGCTAATGAGGGGGGGGAATTTAAATTTTTTTTCTCCCTTTTCTCTCCTCCCTCCTTTCCCTGGAATTGAGGGATGGGGTGAATCAGGGTCCTCCTCCCCTTCCTCCCCATCCCCTGGTTACTGGGAGAAAGGCAGACTCCAGAGGGTGGTGACAGTATGAAGAGATTTGTAGGAACAAAAGAAGGACAGGTTTGGATTGCTGGACACGTCCCAGAGTTGGAGAGACCCCCCCTCATTCCACTGGCACCCCCTCCCATCAACCCCCCAGCTCCCCAGACAAGGAACTCAATGTCTTCCAGCCGGTGAGAAAGGAGCTAACAGGAGCCCTGGTCTAGAGGGAAGGGGGAGGGAAGGGGTGGGGAGTTGGGGGGTACAAAATTAGTCTCAAAGGATCTTTATTTCTGAGCTAGTGAAGCAGATGTAATCAAGGGGAGAGCAAAATAATCATAATGGGAGGAATGGGGGGAGGGGAAGCTGGGGCTGGAATGGGGGGACTAGGCCAGGCCAGGGTGAGAACTGGGGGGCAGGGAACATGGAGTGGGGGAATCTGTTGCCTTTTCTCACCCCTCTAAAGTCTCCCTACTTGGAGGTGGAGAAAGAAGGACCAGGTCTATAGACTCTGACCTTAGCCCTCAGATTCTCTCATTCTCAGTTTAGGGATCGAGGGGCCAGAAGGTGGCTGGGAAGGCAAGTAGGGAGAAGAGAGCCCCCGCCCGGCTGGGGAGGTGGTGAGGAGAGGGGAGACTGAAAGCAGTGGGGGAGGGTGAGAGAGGGGGGCCAGCAGAGGCTCAAGTGGCTCCAGGTCTGTGGGACAAAAGTTGGAGGGAGATTTGTGTATGAGAGAGGAAGGGAGGGGGCCGTGGGGAAGGGGGGGCTTTGACAATGAACTTGAGACAAACTTCATTAGCATGCAGGCCTGCTGTCTGTCACGTTGAGCTCAGACCGAGTTCCCATGCAGGCCAGGAAGAGTGGGAGGGGGGAAAGGGAGGAGCTGAGGGTGGGGGTGAGGGAGAGAAAAGAGACCTGACCATTGTGCCATTCTGGGCCCCAGCTTCCACCAAATATCGGGACCCCAGCCCTGGAAACCAACCCCCCAATTGCTCTCTCTCCTCTAAGAAAAAGATAATTTATCTCCCACTTTGACTCTGTGGTCCCACCCCTCCTCTCCTCTTGTCTAGACTTCCAAGTGCTGGCCTCCGTCTCCCCCCAGTCTGTTCCCCCCTTCGGCTCTCAGCCTTCATCTTCCAATTGTCACTTTCTCCTTCACAACTGAGATCTGGATTTGTGATTAGTTAAACTGACTGGCTTGGGGAGCTGGGGGAAGTTTGGGAAGGGGGAACTGGGACACCCTGAGCCTTCAAATTGGCAAACTGTGTCCTCGTCCCGTGACTCCTTGTCTGCTGTGCTCCTCACCCTAGACACACACATCATTTAATCACTCTCTCAAGTTCAAAAGTGAATTAAAACTCGAAGGAGACTGAGGGGCAGGGGTATTTCTGTCACACCCTTTCTCTGGCTTCCTTGGGAGACAAGGGTGGCCTGGAGGAACAATAGCTTCCCTTAGCCCCTTCCTCCTGCCTCAGGTTAGAAAAGGTAGTAGGGGAGGTGGGACACAGAGTGGAGGTGACAAAGACCCCTTCCCACACAGGCGCTGGAAGGAAGGAGGAGGGGGTTGCCTCAGAGCGGGCTGTTATTTTGGTGGTGGTGGTGCCTCCAGATAGGGGCAGCACCCCCTTTTTGCTGCCTTTCCAGGGAGAGCAGCAAGAGAAAGAAAGAGAGAGGCAAGCGAAATTCCTGAATGGATAGACAGATGCTACGTCATCGGAGCTGCATCCTCCACTCCACAAGAGGCTAGGAGCTGGGGGGAGAGAGGCAGTCCAGCCACAGGGGCCACCCGGACAGTCTCTCCTCACAGAAACCGGGTAAGTGGCCACTGGGGACCAGGGAGGGATCTAGTCCTGTCAGACACCTGGGCTGGGGGTGGGAAGCAATCCCCTAAAATCGGTCAGAGCGCCCTAACCTTCCTACTTTGCCTCCCGGCTAATGGAGGCTGGCGCAGTGATCACGGGAAGGAAAGGCTGATAAAAGATTTAGGGGGTCCCCAAAATGGATGAAGCGTGTGGGTGAAGGAGGAGTTGGCAGCATGAGGTTTCACCCCCTGCTTCCCGGGCATCTGTCTCGGGAGGCAGTGGCTCTGCCCAGCAGCCCGAGTGCCTCTGGGTCCCCTTCCTTTCCCCAGCCCATGCCGGCTGGAGACAGCTCACTAAGTTTGTCAATGGGATTGGGAAGGGGGGGCTTTAGGGTCACGGTGCTACTGATCCTATTAATCTGCCCCTCCCTTCTCTCCACTAGACATGGCCAACATCTTAATGCTTGCACCAGAGGAGAGGCAGGAAGGAAAATTGTCGTGGAGCTGGGAGGGAGGAGAAAAAACGGTGCTGTATTTGGACTCCTGACCTTCTTTCCTGTTGTGGCTCTTATTCCTCTCTGCCCCAGAGACTTCAGGTTTTAAGGGAGGACAAAGTCTGAGGCACTTGCAGGGGTGGGAGAAAAGGAGCCACATTTCCAGAAAGGTGGAGACCAGAATTAGGAAAAATCCAAAAATATTTTATAGGATTTAGATTAATTTCATTCCCCTTCTTCCCCCCTTTTCCTACGAGCTGGCAGGTGCAAAAGGGACTGAAAGGGGCTTAGAAGCAAGTGAGATTTTGAGACAGATGCTTAGGGTCTAGAAGAGGAGAGAAAGCTGCTCCAGCCCTCTTCACACCCATCTAATGGAGGTTTTTTTTGTTTTTGTTTTTCTAAAGGAGGGCCAGGGCACATGGGAAGAAGGGACCATGCCTGCCCCTAGTCCTCCACCCACATGGTGCTTTCTGGGAGACAGGAAGGGACCCTTGTGAAGTAGTAGAGGCTGGAGTGGAGCAGAGTGTTCCTGGTAACCCAGAGGCCACACTGCTGGGAGAGGCTGAGGCTGCCAGCCATCATATGTGCACACACATGTTCTGTGCCTGCTGGGCTGTGTTCCTCATCACCACGTTCCCCTGGCTTTGTGTGTGCTTGGTGGTGAGGTGCCAGGGCAGAGATCAGTGACAAGGGGCACAACTGACCCAGGGAACCCCCCACCACCACTCTCATTGATTAGAGTGGAAGTAGGAGCTAGAAGCTCCCCAACTGTCCTTGTGCCTGTTTTCTGGCTTGTCAGCAAATTGCATGAGGTGGGGGTGGCCCCTTCTTTGGTATGAAGATAATTTCACGCTGAGGCATCCCCTTATGAAATGGGTGGGCTGGCAGAGCTGGGGCTGAGAGTCAAATGAGTACTCCTGGGTGTTAGAAGTGAGGAGGGGGCATTCAAAGCACCCCTCCTAGAAATCAGGCTTAGATTTAAGGCTCATCCCTGCTCTCCAGCCCCTTTCCTTTTTCTGATTTCCTCTGCTTTTAGGCAGGTTACCTTCCTGACTTAAAAAAAAAAAAAAATTAGTTGTGGAATTGAGTTTGAGGTAGAGAGATTCACCAATTTATCTCCACCCCACATGCATAAATCCACACCTCCTGGCATTTTAGGAGCTGGGTCACCTGCGGTATACACGTCATTCTCCCAAACCATAATTTAACATGAAAGCAAAATACTGGGAAGGTATGACTATAAAGTATTGAGCCTGGGTTCCATACCCAACATTCAGAGCATAGTAATAAAAAATAACTGTTTTGTATTCATACCTTTTGTGTATGTGAAAAAGAGAGGGAAGAAACTGATAGCTAGAGGACATGTCTTTATGGATCTCTGAGCTATACAGGGTAGGTGATAGGAAGATAGGTCATGAAGAGATGAGTGCAGATAGCTAGAGAGATAACATGATTGAGATCTTAAATGCACATAGCACTTTACAGCTCACAGGCAAAGATATATCCCTGGCCCTAGATCCTTGATTCTGTCCTAAGTATGCTCTCTGGTAGACCATGAGCAGCAGGAATCTGCCAGAAGTGGAATCTGGGCAGTGGATTACTTCCTTAGCTTTAAGTCTGAGATCTCCACAGGCTCAGTTCAGATCTCTGGGCTGAAGGTTTTGGATGGAGGTAAGGGAGGCTGTGAGGACAGGGCTGGTTAGGGTTGTCCAGGCGAGATGGAGCTGAGAAACTCCAGGCCCTGCCTGTCCTTCATGTCTAGGCTTTTCTCTTTCGGCCATCTCCCTGTGCAGCCTCAAGCCTGAGATTGAAGAGGGGGCCCGAGACTGTCTAGGTCCTGAAGGCACAGGACTGGGAGAGAAGGAGTTGGTGAGAGGGGGATCGGGAGACTGGGGCCATTAGGGAAAGAGGATTGGAGCCTCTTGAAGGACTTTAACATTTCTATTCTCCCCTTTGACAGGAGCTGGGCATCCAAGAAGAAGCAGCCTTATTTGTTTCTGGTGTCATCGTAGGTGGCCACCTTTGGCTTTTGGGGTATTTATTTTCTTTTTGTTGTTTTCGCTGGTGGTAAGGGTGGGGGAGGAACAGGAGGGCTGGCCTTGCATCGCCTGTGTTTTCTCCTGTTCTCTACACCTCTCTTCCCCACTCTGTCTTTTCCAGCTTTCGGCCCTTCATTTTGATTGCTTACTCTGATTATAGCAAGACCCGTACGGTCAATGATCATGGGAATGGAATGAAGTGGCTTGGGAAGGAAAGGCCACCCTGCTTCTAGTTCTGTAATAGAGAGGAAAGGCATTGGGGATACAGGGAACTCTTTTCCCTTTTCCCATAGGCTCCTGAGGGCAGAGATGGAGGCCAGTTGACCTTGGAGGAGGTGGTTCTTTGGGGAAGGGAGCAGAGATATCTGTAGCTGGGTGACAGAGGTGAGAAAAGAGAGGAGTGTGGGTTAAAGTGAATGGAAACCTGGGAAGCTTAAAGAACTGCGAGTGTCTGTGTGTGCCAGGGCATGTACCTGTGAGCATCAGGAGACGGTACTGCTGGAGTATCCAGGGATTTGCCATTGCATTGGTCTGAGTTGATAGGTTGGAACATATTCGTGTGTGTGTGTGTGGGGGGGGTGCATGCACAGCCCCTTTGCACACCCATGCCTATGCCCCATAAGGAGGCCACTTGCTGAGGGCTGAGGGTCTTGTAGAAAGGGCTCCATCAGGATGAACCGGCTGACCCTCTCTCATCTCCGCCACCTTGTTCTCACCTCCCAGACACTCTAAGGCTCTCAGGCAAGTGAGCAGTGTAAGAGCTCCAGAATAGAACTGGGAGCAGGCAGGGGAGGCAGACTGGCCCCTCTATGAGAGGAAAAAACCCACTCTTGTCAGGAAGAAGCATGGTATCCCCAGGGACAAAATCCTCCAGATTATGTGTCAGACCCTCTGACATTTTCTGCCCATCTGAATGTGTGTATATATATATATATATATTTTCACACAGCCTCAGCATTTTTTAACTGCCAATTATTGCTTTCATTTGTCACTACCCCGTAGACAATGCAAATATTCTATAGCAAAAGAATAATGCATGAAAATGTTCATAATAGTGATGCACTTGTAAGACAAAAATAAATATCTGAACCCACCTTCCCCCAAATGCAGCTTTCATCTGTATCTTCAAGGCAAATTAACCTAATTGAAACAAAGAAAAAAATATGCTCTTTATTTAATTACCTGAATATTTCAAGAGAGTGGTTTACTGCCAAAATGTATTTTGGAACCCGAATTATAAAGATCTGTCCAAGAGCTGCATCCAAAGAGCATAATTCAGGCCATGTTTTTCTCTACATGGGCCTCTTCAGGCACACAGACAATAGGTGGGCATCAGGGCTGTAGGGAGGGGGGTGGGGATGGGCTCTGGCAGAGAATGCAGGCTCCTAGGCTAATTGAGACACAGACTCAGATCAGCACCTGGGATGTGGTATGCTCTCCCCACAGTCCCCCAGAAATTCCCTGGAAGGACTCAGGGTGGGGTCCGCAGACCATCATTCCACAGAACACTCCAGAGGGCTGTGCTGTGTGCTAGTAGCAGAGGGCTCTGCTCCAACTGAGGCCCTCCAAGGGAGACTGAGGCTGGTGGGCCAAGCCCAAAGGCACCTACTGCCCCCATGTTACTCCAGCTGTTAGCCTCTTCCATGCCTGCTCTATCCAATTAGTATAAGGGTCTCTTCCAGTCAAAGAACTGTCCAATAGTCATGAACACACAACAGGATAGACACAACTCTCCCTTCTCTTGCCACACGCACCCATACAAAAATCCCAAAAATCCCACAAAACACCCAACTTCTCAGATCCTCATCCTCCACCCATAATCCACACAACAGCAAACACAGACTTGCAGATACATTCACAGGTACACACAGACCTTTACTAATTTATCAATTACTAAATTTCATAAATTTAGTAATTTATGTTTGAGGTATAGTGTTAGTTACTATACCAGGACAAGAATGTGTTTGAATTGCCCCTGCCCTTGAGATGCTGTCTCGTTTGCTACCTTCCAAATAGTTTCTTTTTTGAGACTGGAACAACACGGCTTGATGTACACAAACCAATCGCATTTTACACGATGGTGGGGAGTTTTCTGCTTCTTTCATGGCTTATAGCTCTGTCTCCATTGGAATAAAGGCAGATGCCCTACTTACCTTCGTCCCTGAGCAGGAGTGGTAGGGGATCAGGTTGTCAAGCACACCCAGACAAAACCAAACAAAAAATTACTTTGTGAGTGGTGGGGATTCCATGTGGATGCCAGGACAATTTAGACTAATCTCCACTTTCTTTTGTGTGTGTGTGTGTGTGTGTGAGGGGTCTCTGCTTCTTAAATTTGGACACTGTTCAGGCTGAACTACCTGTGCAGAACCCAAAGCCACAGCAAAAGAGAGAAGTCTTGCTCTTTATCAAGCTATTTGGGGACATTTAGATATATTTTCAGAAGTCACCTAAATGTACCCATTTCTCTCTCCATCTTGCTTTTTGAGGAAATTCAGCTGAGTTTGAATTTGGCCAACAGAGACGGGGTGGGGGAGTCTCCCTTGCACAAAGAAGCCTTTCTGTCCTCTCCCCTCCACAACAAAAATACAGCAGTGGCTTAAAGAGAAGGGAGGTTTGTGCTGATCCCAACTGCCTCTTGCCAGACTGTCTGGACACCCAGGACAGGGTAAGAGGTTGTAGAGATAAGCTTGGGCCTCACAGAGGGCAAGGGACTTGGCTGGAAATTGTGACAGAGAAGAAAGGGAGAGTCTTAGGCAGCAGGAGAGCTCATCCCTACTGGTCCCAGCTCCCCAGGTGCTGGCGAGGGGAGGAATGAGGGGGAGAAGGGTTTGTTTAAGGTGCTTTTAAGGGATCCTGTGGGAGGGCAAATGGGGAGATATTTGTAGAGGAAGTTGGTGGTGTGTCTGGAGAAATGTAGGCCCTATTTAGAGTTGCTAGAATGCTAGAGGATATTGGGCCTCTTATAAAGGGACAGGAGGTGGTACACTGAGAAATCTTGGAAGGGGTTTGTAAGCATGAACGGGAAAGGCCTGTCATTTCTCTGGGGCCCTATCTGGGATGCATTTAGCAGCAGGCCAGTAGGTGGGTCTATCTGTGAGAATGTTTGAGGAGGGTGCTGTTTTTCTGCAACTGTACTGGAGCGACAGGGACTCCAACACCCTGCTCCCTCCCGGGTGCCGCATTGGGAGCTGTGAGAGCACCTGGGAAGGGGCAGGAGGAAACAAAGTAGGGGGTGGACACTTTGACTCTGCTTTTTTCCTTTCCTCCTCACCATTGGCTGGTGTGCTCCCAGTTCTGGGAGGGTGAAAAATTGATGTGGAAGCTTCTAGAATGCCTTTCCCTTGGGTAAGAGCCTCGGGACCCTGCAGAGTCTAATAGAAGGGAAAAAAATGCCATGGTCTAGCCCAGCCCTGACAATGCCCTGAGTCCTGAGGAAATTGGGTTGTTTGCTTCAGCCTCTTAACTATTATTCTGGTGAGGCAACTCCTGGGCCCCTGGGCTTTATTCTATTTCAAACTGTCCCCCACCCTGCAGTCATGCAACCAATATCAATGGCAGTGATTATTCAGACATTCTCCAGTCTTTGGGAGAAGCACCAGATTGACCCATTGGCCATCAGCTTGCATCTAACCAAGACAAATAGCATTCAGGCTTGGCTATGTCCTGGGCTGTGCAGAGGAACAGATAAAACAATCTGTCCAGGGAGCCTGATGGCCAGGGGGTGGTATCCTGGAGCCTAGTGTTCAAGGACCCCTGGTTAGAGCAGCTTGCCCATGTTAATCTGACCGACAAGCTCCAGATATCCGAGTCCTAGAGTTTGTTAGCAAAGGGGCTGAGAGTAGGGTGAGTGGAAGGGTGGGGTGGCTCAGGACAGGAATTCGAATTGCTCCCTGGCAGGCACAGCGGCTCAGAGAGGGGCCCAAATCTCATCCTGAGAGCTCTGCCAGACAGCAGGAATCTGGATCCTGCCTGCCGGCCTCTGGGCCTGTGTATATCACCCAGAGTTGAGACTAGGCATTCTTTGATTCATCTCACAGAAAGGCTGCACAGGGAATGTCGCGCTGGGCCAGGCCAGATGGGTAGCCAGATTGGGAAAGTCCGGGACCTGAGCCTTGCTGTCCTGCGATCCTCCTCCCCTTGACCCCGGCGCTCCAGACACCCGGAGAGGGAACGCGGACTCCAGGTTGGAGGCGCACGGGGTGGCTGAAGGGAGAGAAGGCGCTAGCTAGCAAGGGCCTCCATGGCTGGGTCAAATTCTGTCGGTCTTGCCCAGGCTGAGGCCAGCTGGGATCCTCACCCCCAGCCTCCCCTACCTGGAACCTTGGTGCTGCGACAGTCCTGAGATATATTCCCGTTTCTGCAAAGCGGAAAAGGAAGCTCAAGTCCCACTCAGACCCCACGTCTCCCTGTATAAGTCCCAAACTTCCAGAATCTCTTCCTCACTGTATAGAGTTGAAAACCAGGAAGAGAGGTCCCTGTTCATCCTAAAAGATTAAGATCACAATCCGTAAGGATCAGAACCCGAGAAACACAAAGAATGTTCTGACAGGAGGAGGCAGGTAGGAGTAGCCTGCAGTCATCTGGTTGTTTTTGAGGGGATTTCACCCGTTCTCTTGTCCATCTTTGCGCCCTGTCCTGGTGTAACATATCTAGGGCCAAAATGCAAAATGTAAGACCAACGAAGAGTGAGGTTGGAGATCAAAACCACAAACGGCGACGGATTAGAAATGGAAGGCAGGTCTAGGGGTGGGTGAGGCAGCCAGAGGCTGAGAATCAGCACACAGACATAGTATTCCCCGCCCCCCTTCTCCGGGGGGAGGGGCGCCCCAATTGCGCTCCCGGGGCCCGGCCAGGGCAGAGAGAGAGGCGGGGCTGGCGGGGAACGAGGCGGTGACGTCAGACTCGGTAGAGCCAATCAGAGGCTGGCCTGGGGAGGGAGTGTGAAAGGATGAATGAAAAGTCCGGAGCCGGAGCACGCCGGGGCCAGAGCCGCAGCAGAGGCTGAGGAGGGAGCTGGAGAGGTGAGACCTGCTCCACGAGCTGCTGGCCTAGGCTAGGCGGAGGCTCAGGTCTGGGCGGGCTCCTCCGCCCGGGCGGGCTCCTCCGCCCCGGCGCCCGCTGAGCCCTGGGATCAGGGACCCTGGTCCGTGGCGCTCCATGGGCGGGAACCAGCGGGAGGACCGCGCGGGAGAGCACGTATGGGCACCTTGGGCCCGATGTAAGTGGCCTGGCCAGCGTGGGGCATGAGGTGGGCGAGCGCCTCGGAATCCAGTGTCCGCGCGTCCACCACGAGGGGCTGGCTGTGTCCCCCACCCTCTTCTGGTCTTCCCGGACCTCTTTCTTGTCTGATCGCACCTCCTGCCAGCCCCAGGGCACCTCTCATCTCGGACCCCCGGCCATTTTCACAACCCTGGGTAATTTCTGGTCCTCTTTGTACAAAGCCTTTTTTCAGGGGTTCTGCGGGGCCCAGGACTTAGCTCACCTACCCAGCCGCCCTCGCTTTCCTCCCCTCACCCCTTCTCATGGGTGCTCTCCTGGATCTCTTCCCGGGTGGGGGTCTTTGCCCTTTCCCAGCCCACGGCCACAGTCTTCCCTCTCACTCTCTGGGTCGCCAGGATTTCCCTGTTTCCTACGGGGGAGCCTCTGGGGTTTCTACCTTCGGGGTTTCACTGCCCGCTCCCCCTTTTAGTCGGCCGCTTGCATCCAGTTCTTTCCCCCGCACCGGCTCCGGTCGCTTCCACCGCCCTTGTTAGTTGGAGACGTGGCTGGGCCGGCTCCGCAGCTCCCGCTTCTACCCCACGCGTAGGCTGCGGCTCCGCTGGAGGCTAAGGCTCTGGCTGCCGGTGCGCCCCGATCTTCCAGAGGAGCGCACTGGAGACCCGGCGAGACTGGGGAGCCCTCCGCCTCGGTCTCTGCTGTCTTCCCGGGTGGCACGAAAAGCCTGAGAATCCCTTCTACCCGGGACCAGCGGAATTCCCACTTTTGTCTCGAATGGGGGAGCGGGGCAAAAGGGAGCTGGACGCTTTTAGGGTCCGGGGTCAATCTCCGGACCTCGACGCCAACCGCCGTCGTGTCCTTTCCACTGCGTTTCGGTCTCTGTTGTGTCTGCATTCCTCTCCGAGTCTCTTTTGGTCTCGAACACCATTGCTTTCTCCACCCCCTACCTCCACCCGTGTACTTGCCCCCTAACTCCCACTGGCGGGCCACCGGGAGGCTGCGGAGGTACCGGCGGCATCTGCGGCGGCGGCAACCGGGAGGCTGCGTGGAAGAGGCGGCAGCAGCAGCGGCAGCCAGGAGGCGGGGTTGGTTGTTATCTTTGGTTATCTAGCTGTATGAGTGGTGTGGAGTCTTCATAAAGCTAGATAACCGAAAGTAAAAATAACCCCATACACGGCGCAGAGGGGCCCAGGGAAAGCTGGCCTCACGGGCGGTCGGGGGAGGCCGGGCGAGGGTCTAAGAGCCGCGAGGACCGACCCGCTGTGGGAGGATGCAAGAGGACCGGCGGCTCACCGGCCTGGAGACTGCACTGGGCCCGGCGACTTCCCACCCTCTAACCTGGTTCTGCGAAGGTAGGCGTCAGCGTCCCATTTCACTTTAGCCAGGTGCAACATTTTTCCCTCGCGGAGCTGGGAAGCAAGGAAGCCTCACTGGGGTCCTTTCTGGTGGTCCCCGCTCCGGATGAGGCGGGAGAGATCTGTTGAAATCTAGTTGCAGGGTTATTCGGGACAGTCCCTCGGGCTCTTGGCCCGGGCCTCTCCAGGGAGCGCGAGCTGGCGAGCAGTTTCCCCGCAGGCCATCTACAGCTACTGCTGGGCAGGGAGGGTTTGGAGGAAGTCACCTGCGAACACTGGTCTTTGCTTGGGGCGGTTCCCTAAAGCCATCTAGCTATCCAGCGTGGATGGGAGCTGAGAATGTCATAGTGGAAATAGGACTGAAGGTACTAAGTGGAGGCTGCTAAAAAAAAAAAAAAAAAAAAGGAAAGGAAAACAGGGTGGCTGGAGAACCTCCCAGCCAGGGTTCTGGGGCAATGGAGTGCAGAGTCGCTCTCTGCTCCATTTCCCTATTCTTTCCTCCTTCAGAATCAGGACCTGAGTCTGATGTCTTAAAAAGATTCTCATGTTGCTTTGTCATTCCTGACCAAAGGGATTGAGTTGGGGTCTTTCAGGACACCCTACCTTCCCACCCCAGTCTCACTCTTGGAAATCATCTCCAAGAACAAATGGCCTCAAGGAGCTCTGAGGAGCTCAAACACAAAGGAATTTGTAGCTTAGTATCTATGCTGCCCAGAGAAAGCAAAGAATTAGAGATTAATCGGGGCCTTTCCTAAAAGAATCCATTTATCTGGCCTGACCTAAATATTTTAAGCAAAAGAGTGTTTAGGTGTAGTTAAAAGGAGAACGGTCTAGGGTCACTGTGTATAATAAAAGTAAATGCAGCGAAAGCTAGAAGTGGCCCCTCTGTACCGATGACCACTCCCGCCCCATCCCCCATGGCCTGGCATTCCAGGACACAGAGGTCAGGAGTAATAAGGGGGCAGGAGAACTGGACGAAATGACCTTGTACTGATTCCAGTTTCCTGTGGAAATTAAAAATTTCCTCCCAGGACCTGATTTTATAGCTAGGAGATAATGATTTCATTATATATTATGTGGGAGAAATATTGGAGAATCCAAACTCAAAAAATTGGGCTTCAGGGAGCCTGGAGTACGTGTCTCCTTCTTTTAGAGATTTGAAGGAAGCAGAGATTAGTGGCCTCTTACTTTCTCAGCCATTTGGAATTTGGGATTTCTAGAGGAGGGGAGGTGGAGACTGGCTTAGGGAGAAAGGGAGCAGGTTTTAGGCAGAGACTAATAATCCCTAACTCTACTTCCTGGGCACTCAGCCTACCTGCCTTTCTTTAATCTTCTGACACTGCGAGGTAGCTGTTGTTAACCCCATCTTACATATGAGGAACCACAGGCTTAAATGAGTTGGTAATGTCAATGGGTGGTTTCAAACCCAATGCTTTTTCTACTGGACTTGCCTGTGAGAAGAGCTGAAGAGGGAGTGAGGTCTGGAGAGTGAGACAGGGCTGAGCTGCCAAGGGGTGGGAGGGAAGGGGGGGGCCTGGTGGGGCAGGTGCACCCACAGAAAAGGCCTGCTTGTGAGCAGGGGCTGGGAGTTGAGAGGAGAGGGAGAGAAGCACCAGGAAAGATAGGCTGGCTGGCTGGCTGGCTTTCTTTCTTTTTTTAACATTTTATGTATGTAGCTTGTTGGAAATGTGTATTTGGAATCTGCTGAGGCTCATCTGCAAGAGACTTAGACCCTATATTATTAACCACAATGGGTTTCTATTCTTGTTGTCTCCCATTAGCATATTTGACCTCCAAAGGAGCATTGAGGGCCTAAGGGAACTGGTGGGTTGAGAGTTTACACCCTACCTAACTAGCACCTCAGTGGAAAGGGGGAACAGAGGCCAGGAGGGATGTGGGGGTGAGGGTTTGTGTCTGCCTTCTGTGAGCATGTGGTGTGTGCATGTGGGTGTGTGGGTGTGGTTGTCAGGAGAGTGATGGGTGACTGTGTTTGTGAGCTGTGTGTATCTGCTTATGAGGATGAGAAAGTGAGTGATGTGTGGCCTGGTGTGAGGTTGGATGTATGTGCCTCCATGGTGGGTAGAAAGTTTGGCTGTCTGGCTGTGTGTAGTTATAAATCCACTATAGGAGCAGGCACTCCAGGATTTGGGAGGTTTTACCAAACGCAGACATCATGGTGACGCCACCAAGTTCTCCCCACCCCTCTGTACCAGATAGCGCTTCCACCTAACCCAGTAGGAGAGCTAGTAGGCCTGGGGTGCAGGAAGGTCGGGTTGAAAGGGGCTCAGAAAGGCCTCACCAGTCACCAGTGAGGGCATTTCCTCCCTTGTATCATTACACCTCTGCCAGCACCCAAGAATTTTCAGTTCTGTTCTTCAGATCTTGCTGCATCTATTTTTACTAGAAACCAAATTCTAAGCTGGTTTCTTTATCCATTTCTCTCCTCAGTCCCTTATCCTAATACCTTCCCATTGGATTCTAAGTCAAGAATCCAAAAGCAATTTTTTCCTAAATATTTGACTCAAGTTTTGCATTATCACCCACACCTTCACCCTGGGACAGATTTTTCCCCAATTCCAGGCATGGAAAGGGTCTTATTGAAGGGTCCTTACAGCCATAAGAATCATCACAATCCATGAGCCTAGGGAGGGAAAGAAATAAAAAGCACACATGTGATTGAACCAAGATCCATGTTTAGGTGCCATCCTTTAGCAGCTATGCAAATCTCTGAGTCTTGATTCAGATATTTGTATAATGGGGATAAGGATTTATACCCTTAAGATTGTTACCTGCAGCAAAGAAAGAATTCTATATAAAAGATCATATAATATGTTATACCACCCATGGGTAAAGGGTAATTCTTAAATTGCAGAGAGGTAAAAGGATATAGTTTGGAAAGGCTGATAGCATGTGATTGATCTCAGAATGTAACAAGGACGGCCCTCTGGCACAGTCTTGACTGAGGATTCAAAACATTTATAAACTTGAGGAACTTCCCCCTCCTTTTCCAGCTTTGGGCATCAAGGATGGACTCCTGGGAACATGAGTAGGAGGTATCTGAAGCCTGTTAAGGGGAAGAGGCTGGCTCCATGTGGCAGAGTGGCCATTGTGCTCTTTCTCCTCAATGGATCTTATCACTTATTGGTGAGAGTATTTATGACTGGTAAACTGATTTATGCAGATAGGTTAATATGGCATATGTAAATGATAATTTCAGGTTTATGCCATTAAACTTCTAGATTCTAGAGTTGCTAAAAAACCAGTTTATTAAAGGACCAGTTAGTGGATATAATTAGCACACCAAATAGAGACCTGCCTATCAGCATGAAGACTTTTCTTCATCGCTGAGTGATTTTAAAAAGAGTGTCTTCTCTTTCTTTGCCTCCCAAACCAATATCCCCCTCATCCCCAATGCTATTCCTTTTTTTTTCTTTTTGTTTTGTTTATTGGTTTTTTGTGGTTTTTTTTTTTTTTTTGAGACAGGGTCTTACTCTGTTGCTCTGGATAGAGTGCAGTAGCATCATCGTAGCTCACTACAACCTCAAACTCCTGGGCTCAAGCGATCCTCCTGCCTCAGCCTCCTGAGTAGCTGGGACTACGGGCGCATGCCACTGCACCTGGCTAATTTTTCTAGTTTTTTTGTAGAGATAGGGTCTTGCTCTTGTTCAGGCTGGTCTCGAACTCCTGGCTTCAAGCAGACTCCCACCTCGGTCTCCCAGAGTGCTAGGATGACAGGCGTGAGCCACCGTGCCTGGCCTCCCCAATGCTATTCATAAAGTTGGTAACCCGCCAGAGAAGCATAGACCTCTCTGCATTCTTCTATGTCTGCAAGTCCTTCTTGACATCTGCACTTTCAAGGTTTGGAAGTTGGAATCTGATGTTTATTTTTTCACCTTCCTCCATGCCAATGTTCTAGGGACAGATTGACCTTTCCACCTCCCTTCCTTTGCTGTTGGGACCTCAGAGATCTGGGGGTTATTGCACTGTCTCATTCAGAGACCGGTGTGCCAACTTCCTTAGGAGATAAATAAGTTTAGGTAAATGCTTTAAAATCACTGGAGGAAAGCAGTGGACAAAACTGTAAAAACATTCTTGGAGCTTTGAGGAGAATGAAGAACAGGGTTATGGAAGGAAGGGCGGGTGGGTGCGTATTTAGATAGGTGAGAAGAGAGAGAAAAGGGGAACCCCCTCCTTGCCACACAGGCTCTCCCAGGGCTAGAGTGACACCCCCCCTCCTCCTGCCCTAATCCCCCCATTAAGGCAGCTCTGAGTTTGTTATGACAGCGGCTGAAGGCAGCTGAATTGCTGTTTGCTGTGTCTGCTAATTGGACTGAAGGGTTGGAGTCTGGACACTGAAAGGGACCATTGTTGCTGTTTACCTTCCACAGCCGCCTCCCTGGGGACCCTCTGGGTAAAGGGGAGCAGCACCCCCTCAGGGTCATTGCACCCATTCCCCGTCTCTGCAAAGGGACTGTGATGGGTAGACAGTTTGTCATTGCCCTGGGGTGGTTTGAGCTTCCACAACATAGAAGAGACAAGCCCAACACCTGAATTGGTCTCTTCTCCTGGCCAAGCCCAGAGGCCATCCAGGAGCTCCTAGAAGGGGGAGTTACCTGCTCCTTTTCATCCACTTCTTCTTTAGGGACCCTACCCTTTGTTTCTTCCTCCAGCTAATCCAGCTTAACCCCTGTACCCTTTCTTACTGGCTTTTTCTAGGCCAGCAATTCTCAACTTGGTTATACAGTAAGTCAGCTGAGGAGCTTTTTAAAAAATACTGATATTTAGGCTCAGCACCAGAGCAGTGAAATCAGAGTATCTGGGAATGAGGCCCGGGCATCAGTATCATTTAACATGCATCTAAGGTTAGGAACCACTGATATAGGCTCATCTTTTTGCCTGGGAAAGACATAGAATAGACATGCACACACATGAATGCATGCATGCACTTGCCTGCACACATGCAAACACAAACTTGCCCTGATCTCTTCCTGCTTTTCCTCCAAAGCTCCTGATATCCATAATACTAGAAGCAGGTTGTGTATCTTTCTCATCTTTATTACTAAATTGTAGGAGCCTTAGAATTTAGGATGGAATTTAGAGGTCTGTGTTCCCACCTCAACCTGAGTGTTCTTCCTTAAGGGCAGGAACTATGAGTCCGTCTCCCAGTGGATTTCCAAATAGGATCCAGAGGAGGACTGAGCTAATCTGGGGTACTTAAATCATTAGGGGTGAAGAGGGTGGGAAGTTCAGAGATTCATTGACTTCTGTGCTCTTTCTCCCTCAAAGTAGTATTGGCAAATTAGAGGTCTTCAGAGAAGAGAAACTCTCTTCAAGGGTACATCTTTCCTTTTCCTTACTGTTTCCAAATGTTTCTGCTTCTTCTCTTCCCTTTAGCTTCTCACCTAGGATGGGTGGGTGCTCCACCATCCTCCCGACCGGCCTCTTTCCTCCTTGTGGAAGGCAGAGCCACATCCAGCACCACGGACAGCTCCCGGGCGGTGAGTGAGATGGCTGTGCTGACCCCCTCTGAGAGGGATAGCAGGGGTCCTCCCCTCTGTGCAGTCAGATATCAAAGGTGCTAGATTTTTGAATCTGTGGGAATTGTTTGCAGTCAGCTGTGGAGGCTCCGGAGAGACAAAGGCTGAGGGAAGTTGGCATTCCTGTCGCTAGGAAATTGGGTTTGTCCTTATGTGGGGAAGTCTGAGAGGGGCTGCTCCAGTAGTAGGAAGGATGAAGGTTATATTTCAGGAAGGATTCATATAAGATATGGAGTGTACAGATCAGGTAGAGCTAAAATGTGCCTTAGAGATCATTAGTCCTATATCCCTCATTTTACAGATCTCATGGTAGTGGAAGACATACGATCAGGTTGCCCAACTAGTTAGTGGAAATGCCAAGATCCAGGCTTCTGAATTCCAGCCTGGCCCTTTCCATCATGCCTGATACTTCCTTTAGGAGTCTCCCTGCCTGGGTTTGGGGGAAGAGATCTGATGCTGGTAGGGGGAATTTAGAGGTTGCTCCCCCATAAAAAAGAACAGGACGCATGTCTGGACATGGGAAGTGTCAAGGAAATCACCAGGTAGCGATAGAACTGACTGTTGTCTCTGTCTGGGGAGGTTTGGAGGGAAGGCATGGGGGAGAAGCACAGGGGAAGGCATACCTAGCAAGAGCCGGTAAGCCCATGGGAGGAAAAGGCAACCATCTGCCAGGGCACAGCAGCCACTGGATGGCCACAAGGAGTCTCCAGAGGCCAGCAGGAGTCACGCAAACTGGAACGGGGCCTGGGAAAGGCCCTTCTGTGTGCCCAGGCCTGCTCCCCCAACACCGTGAGCCTAGAAACAAAGGGGCCATTCTCTCTAGGATTTGATGCTGCCATCTCCGGCTGGCAGTGCCAGGTGGTGGGGGCATCAGGGGGTGTCAATCCATTACCCCCCCCAACTCCTAGGTCCTCTGGGGCTGGATGTTGGGGAGGTGGGTGTTCCATGCTATGTTGCCATGGCAACCACCCCAACCCCCACCTCCCAAAGCACAAAGAGAGACAGCTTTTCCCCCACCCCCAGGAAGAACCTGGGTCTGGCTGGGAATCTTCCCTTGAGAATCCTCCTTTCTGATGCACAAGCCATGGCATGCATAAGCATCACCCTCTTTTCAGCACAGGGAGCTAAGGTTCTGCCATCAGCAGGCTACATAGGCAAGGAAGCTGGTGCATGTGGAGTCTCTGGGCAAAGCTGTGCAAGTGGGCATGGTCCCTTATACTTAACCCCCAGTCTTCCCATGCTCTCTTGCCCCTCACCTATAGCCAAGGCCATCTTAGGCCTTCTCAGCTGAAGCAATGGGGCCTGACTCTTTCCCAGAAGTGAGGGACACCCTGCAACCCCAGCACACCTCCAGGCTGTGGGAACAGAAAACAAGAGTGGGCCATTCCTGCCACCCTCCATCTGCACCCTCCGCCATTACTCATTAGGCATTCTGCCCCTCCTTCTGCTCGTTAAGCCTGATTTGCATACATTTGCATAATATAGTTCATTTGCATTCCAGGAGGCTCCTGGTAGAAGCCAGGAAAAAAGGGGAGGGGGATTGGAGAAGAGAGAATAGGGGAGAGATTTTGTTTTCATCAAAGTGTGGGGGGAGGGGCCAGGGGGAGGTGGCAGGAAGAGGACAGAAATAAAAACTCACACTACTTTCTTTCTTCCCTCTGCCCTCCCTCCCTGAGCTGGACTCAAATGCCAAAGAGAGATGCCAAGGGGCCGGCTTTTCTGTCCTTTTTTGTCTTGCTTCCTCCGGCCTTGGCTCCCCAGCCTGGCCCCCCACCTTGTTGGGCTCAGGCTTCAGAAAGAAAGAGTCAGGGGTAGGAGGCGAGGCTGTGGGAACGGAAGCGGAGGGAGGCGGGAGGCCGCCATCTTAGGTAGCTGGCGCCTGTAAAATGGCCGCCTCTGACAGGTGTGCGCTGAGAGCCAGCCCTGGCTGGTGGGCATGGAGGGGAGCGGGACCACAGAAGAACTTTCTTGCTAGCCAGGAATACTGTTGAATCTTCCTACTGGTGGAACTAGGAAGAGAAGATGGGGGAGAAGGAAAAGGGGAGACCAGGAATGGTGGCTCCCACAGGGCACCACCTCCTGTGCTCCTGTAGTTCTGCTCAGGAGCAGGGGTGGCAGTGAGGCTCCAGCACTGGGCTTAGTTCCCAGAGGACTCAGAGGGCTGTGGGCAATGTAAAAAGTGGGGGAATCAGAACGGGGACTCTGCAGGAACAGGGGGAGGGGGAGGTGTGGGCAGGCAGTGCTATCTGCCAGTCTGAGGGTCTCGCTGGGGCCTGTGAAAGGCCTCCCTGGACTTGAGGTGATGCTCCACTTTCTCTCCTCAGCCCAGCTGTCTGGCTTCCATCTTCACAACTGGTGACACGGTGCCCTCTCACAGCCACAACAGGGCTCACTGGCCCTTCCTCGGGCCTGGTCCTCCCTGACCTCTGTGGAAAAGTTCATGCTATCTTTCCAGTCTTCCCCTTTGGCCTTTTGTTCTTCTGTTATATCCATGATTATTCATTCTTAGTTCCATTGATTCAGTCATCTGAATCAACCAGTTCCCCATTCAGAAGGGGTCCCCAAGGTTCTGCTGTTCATAGTCCTTTTCTCTTTCTTCTCACTCTTCTTGCTCCACTTTTATCATTTCAGCCATTATCTGAAGTTCTAAACTCTCACTCATTTTTTTAGTCTTGACCTCTCCTAAACTCCAGATTCACACCCTCCCTAACTACCACCTGGAGTCCTGCTATTAGCTCCCAGATCAGAGGCTGGACTGGTGCAGCTGCTTGGCCAAGCCTGGATCACATGCCCGGGTCTAGTGCAAGGAAGGCTGGGAAAGGACCTGTGTTTTTAGCTTCTGTCATGGCACATAAGTACAATCTCCCACCAAAACTCAGGAGGCGAGCCATTCCCCAGGGGACCAGATGCTCACCAGCATTGTGCTTCAAGTCTTGCCCCATGTTCCTGTGTCCTTATCTCTATCAGTGGCATCATTTTTGGGTTCAAATCTTGAACTTCATCCTGGACTTGTCCCTACATCAAAACCTATCACTTCTTTTCTTCGTAGCACCTCTCGTTTCCACCTTTCTGTCCCTGATCCCTGCCTCCATGTCGGGCACATGCATTCAGCAGGCATTCGCTGAGTGCCGCTTGGGTGCCAGACGCCACGCAGAAGGAAAAGGTGGACTACAGAGCCTCTTTGAAGAGCCAGCAGTCCGGTGGGGAGGCAGACACACAAATAATTACCAGCCAGTGTGAAGAGAGGCTGAAGACATGCACAGAGTGCTGTGGGGGCAGGGAAGGGAGCAGGGCCACCTCAGAGGCACCCAGGAAGCCTTCCTGGAGGGCATCAAGAGAGAAGTGACAAAAGACAAGCAGGAGTTTGTCAGTGTCAGGAGTCTGGGGAGGTGGGTGGTGAAGAGCAGCCAGCATGGGTGAACACCAGGAGGCAGGGAGGTGAGGGAGGAGGTGGTGTGTTTGGGGACACACTGCCCCTCACAGGGAGTCTGTGCGGGGAGGAGATGAGGAATGGAGGCAGAAGTCCCACTGTGAAGAGCCTTCTGTGCGGTGCCAGGGAGGCTGGATTTAGTGACGTGGTACTGGGGAGGTTAGCCGACAGCCCGGATGCCAGGGGGAGGGTGTGGTGAGGAGCAACACATAACCACGCCTAGGAGGTGTGGGGGCCCCCGAATCTGGCTGCCCACTGAGCCTGGCCAGACATTTAACTGGCTCTCAGCTACTTCCAAACAAATGAAGGAAGGGAGGCATATCTACCTCCCCGCTCCCCGCCACACACATGGGGTTGGGCTGGCTTGTGGGGCTCTCTGGAGAGAGAGGTGGGGAAGCTGAGGTTGGTGGTCCTCCTCAGCACTAAGAGCAGGAGATGGGCTGCGGGGGGTTAGGGGCAGCGATACTGGCCCTGACTGTGTGGGGCAACCCGCTAGTCTCTGAGCTTTCGTACATACTGGAAAAAAAGGTTCAGTAGATCAAGGGCTGCCAGGCCCGAGGAGGCTGGAGTGAAGATGCAGAGAAGGGGGGTCTGTCCTGGCAACTTCTGGGAGGAGGGAGTGAGGGAAGGGGTGAGGGGGACCCAGGGCCAGGGCTCCCAGGGGATTCTTCCTAGACAAAGGGGGTGAGAGGCTGCAGAGACAGCCGGTGGAATGTAAGCGGGGTGCCCACTACCGCCCATCCCCCAGGCCCAGCCTGTGCACAAAGACCTCTCTGTGAGTGGCCGTGGAAGTGGCCCTGTCAGGTGAGGGGGCTTAGCTCCCAGGGCCTGGGGCGGAATGGGGTTGGAGGAAGGGAGGGCTAAGAGGTGGCCTCGGGCTTTATCCAGGTCCAGGCAGGAAGTAAAGAGAAGTTGAGGCCAGGCCAGTGTCTCAGAGTGAGGCCATCGTGGTCTCGTCGAGCTGTCCCCAGAACGGGCTTTCTTTCCATCATCCAGTCAGGGCCCCATGTCCCCCTGGCTGTCACTCCTGATCCTGCCAGGCCTCTCCAGTCTTCCCTACCCAACTCATACCACCCCTTTCAGGGCGCTCTTGGCACTGACCCCACTTGAGCCTCCTCTCCCCTCCCCAACATAAGACTGTTGAGTCATCTTCCAGCTCCTGCAGGGCGCTCCCCATTCAGGGAGGGCTGCCTTGAGAGGGGGGAGAGAGACTTACCAGAGCCAAAAAGGAGTCCTGAGGCCGCCTCAGTCTCCATACCCACTCTTATCTTCCGCAGGGGAGGTTCCTTTCCTGGCCTGGCCTCAGTGACGCTTCTCCCCTCCCTCCAAGTCCTTGTTGGGCACAATGGCCCTTCTAATAACTGTTTGGACTTAGTGTGCTTGAAGCCATAGAATGACAGCAGACACAGCTTCAGCTTGCAGATGCTCACAGATTTGATAGGTAGAAGGGCTCTGTCCACCAGAAGGACAAGAAAAAAAGGTGCTTTGGGGTTTTGACTCTGGCACTGAACAGGCTGGTCAGGATACAAATTCTGACTAAATGCTGAGGGACACAGTTACAGGGGCCATTGGAGGTAGGCGGGGGCAATCAGGGAGGGCTTCCGGGTTTGGATGTGAGGGCCACCGATTCTTGGGGTGGGGGCAGAGGGGCTCTGGGTGCAGTGCAACCCATAGTGAAGGCCCAACTGAGAAGCATGGCTGGGCCCTGTGGCTGGAGCTCTGCAGTCTCCAGTAGGGGAGCATCTCGCTGAGACTGCTGTTAACTACATCCCTGCAGCCTCTTTCATCCTTCTCAGAGCTTCCCCTGGCCATGTGCGAGTACAGTCCAGCAGTACCAGGAGGAGAGGACAGGTAGGGCGGATTTCCGTGTCCCTGCAGCCCTCAGCTCCAGGTCCTCCAGAGGGAGCGTGAGCCAGGTGTGGCAGGACCTCCACTGTGTGTACTGTGTGCAGCTCCAGCCCTGCCACATGGGACCCTCTCAAGTCCCTGACTTTATGGCTCCTCAGCATTGTCAGGAGGGTGCTGAATCCAGACCTGTTTAGGTCCTCAGGCCCATGGGCCAGGGAGACTTTGAGCAGGAGGGTCTTTTGTCTCTAAGCAGTTATTCCTTGTTGTACAAGCAAGAGCCAGGAGGAGGAATGGTTTTGGCATCAGCCCCCACAGATAGCAATGGGCCCTTTAGGCCTGGAGGGAAGGACCAGGCTGAGGCTGGCATATGGAGGCTGAGCCCTGGGCACAGGGCATGAGCTTCGCCCGGCTGGGGCTGCCTTCTGCTGGGTTTGTCCATCTGGCACCAGCTGGCCTCCCAGCACCGCCCCCACAACCAACCAGACTCCTTCTTCTGCTGTTGCCATGACAATTGGCTGCCATCTTGTACTCAGGGCACCACCACCTCTGATCTGGATCTTCCCATGGGTTCCTGGAGGGTGGGGGATAGGTCTCTAGGGATTTATCCCTTCTTCCTGATAGCTGTTCAATAAAAATTCATATTAATATGTGATATTTTTTAAATGGTCAAAGTGGAGACTTACTACGTGTCAGGCTCTGAGCCAAACACTCTCGGTGTGTTACTTTATATGACTAAGAAAGAATTAATGAGATAGGTTTCAAACTGAGTTCCTACCCAGTTTCCTGCTTCTATAACAGAACTTTCCTCTCTCTAGCCAGGAAATTCCATGACCTTGGGAAGTCCTTTGCAATGTCTACCCAAGATCTATACTGCTGTGGCACCAGCTCTTTGACCCTTGGCTTGACATGGCTGAGTTGAGAGGTAAGGAAAGAACTGCCAGATAGTTTTAGTCACTTTATGAAGATTCCTGGACTTCAGCTGGAGGGAAACTGAGACTTGGCTAGCTTGGCAAGAGGTCCAAGTACCCCTTAAAGACTTGGGGGCCCCCAATCAAACTTTTTGTTTAGAGGAGTCAGTGCCACAAAATGCTTTGAAATTCCCTCTTCCTGCCCCCATCAGCACCCAAAAGAGGGAGGAGCCAGAGATCTTTGGAGACGGAAAGTCTTTCAGGCTCTCAGGGGGCTCCCCTTGGGACCCTGTCTCCCACCCCCTGCCTTGCCATTGGTTAGGTTCCAATGTTGTTCCTAAAAAATCCTAGGATGGCAAGAGCTCCTTCCTTCTAGAGCCCACTGGAAAACAGAATTGTTCACCTTGACCCAGAGGGGCATCTTTGAGGGGCTTTGAGCAGGGGCCAGCCTTGCTGAGGGAATCCTGAATGAGGAGCAGGTGGAGAGAAAAAGGAGGCCCTTCTTAACTGAGGAAGGCAGGCTGGAAGGGAGGGGCTGGGGATAATTTATGATATCATTGTTCCCCCGCCCCACTTTCCCAGCCACCACCCCTCTTCCCAGCCCCCTGCTACTGTACGGTTGCTAGGAGAGCCTGGCTCTGTCTGGGCTGGGAGGGGGGAACAGGCGGGAGACTGTTCCATCTGGACTCCTCCTCCCCCACCCAGGGCCCTGCACTGAGCCACATCCACCACCTCTTCCCAGGCCCCAGCGCACACCAGTCTCTTCTATTCCCCCAAATCTAGCCAGTGTAGGGGTAGTAGGGCTCCCAGGCAGCTGGGGCAAGGAACAGGAAGAGAGCATGGAAGGACAGGGGCTGAGACTTGAAGGGGACACTGAGGAATAGCTGGGCCACTGAGACCTGGGAGCCAGCCCACGCTGGGAAGAGGGCCAGAGGGAGTCAGGCCTGGTGGAGCCCAGGTTTGGGGGGGGGGGAGTCAGAGTCCTTACCTTTGAGGGGATCCAATATGGAGGGCAAGGCAGAGCTCCTATGCCCACCCCTCCACACTGTCGAGGTCAGGCTAAGAGACTTGGCAAAGGCAGGAGGAGGAGGAGCTGGGGCAGGGAGGAGGGAGGTAAGTCTGAGAAGGCTGAGGAGAGACTAAGAAGAAGGAAGGTGACACTGATCACTCAGTGGGGAAGGGCAATGCAGGGATGTGGCTGGCATCCTTTCCTCTTCTGGAAATTTTCTTCTCAGTTTTAAGGCTCTTGGAGAAGTAGGGCGAGGTGAACGCTGGGGGCATCCAAAGCTGCTGGCTCCTAGCTCTGGAAGGGCAGGGACGGAGCACCGTACCCACAGCTGATTCGTACCATTTGTTTGGACAAGTCCTTTCTTAGCTATTATCTCAGTTAATTTTCCCAACAGCTCAGAAAACTGGGCAATACTATCCCCCCTTTACAGAAGATGAATCAAAGCCTCAAGGAGGCTTTCCCAGACTCACACACAGTTGGAGGGACTGAGCGAGGAGAGGACCAGGCAGGCAGGTGGCAATGTCCACAGTGTCTCAGGAGCAGGGGGAAGTCTGCAGGATGCTGAAACAGTCCTTGCAGGTTGAAGACAGGACTGGAGAAGAGGTCACAGGAGCTGTGGAAGTCACCAGAATCCACCCAGGTTGGTCCTTAGCCCAAAAGAAGCATTCTCCCTGCCTTCCTGAAGCAAGTTCCCCAGGCTCCTGCCTAATCGCTCTGTGCTTGGGATCTGAGCTTCAACCCTGGGCATTCCCCCTGCCACCACTGCCCTGGGTAGAGCACCTAGAAGAGATGCCTGTTCTCAAGCCACTGCCACGTTGGCTCCCTTTGTCCTGCTCCCCCCCACCCAGCTCACCTTTCCTGATGGAAGGGGCCCTTCCAAAGCTGCTGGAAGTTTGTCCTCTGCCTCCTCCTAAGGTCTCCCTCCAAAGGATTTTTTTCACTCTTGACAATTTTTCTTTTCAGACCAAAAAGAACCTACTTCACCCACCTGGCCTGAATTCCCTCTGAGAAGTCTTCCTGGATTGACTGAAAGACGAGGCTAAGCTCTAGCAAGTTGAACTTGACCGGCTCCTCAAGAAGCTTTGAGAAGAATGGAAGTGGGGAGGGCCCAGCCTCCAGCCCGGGCAGCCCGTTATAGCTGGAGCCATCTGCGATGAGACTGTGGCCCATGGCTCCCAGTCCACCAGCTGTCAATCCCGGCCTATCCTGGTTTATCCTATGTCATAGGAGCTGTAATACCCATGTGCTCTGAGCTGGAAGTCCTATCTCATGCCTAATAAAGACTCTTGAATATTTAACAGTAGTGATGGTAGTGGCTGTACCTGGGCAGAGTTCAAGGGGAGGGACTGAATGGGGGGGAGGTGATACTGGACCCCTAACAGAGACCAATGATATGGAAGCCTCACTACAACCACCACTCCCGCCCGGTGGGGCTGGGCATGGCGAATGAACATCTTGGATCCTTCTACCTCTCTCAGCCACCCCAAGGCTCCTGAGAACTCCATCCGTGATCTGGTCAGGTCCAGCTCAGCCATGTGCTGCTGCCCTCAGCTAAGGAACAGCTAAGTTCCATCCCAAGGACCAAGAGAACGGGAGAGGGTGATGATGCTACCCCAGACTGCCTGTGCAGGAGGTCACTGGGTGGCTCTCTGTCTCCTCCACAAAAGGATCCTCCCTCAGAAATGTCTTCATGAGTTTGGACAGACCACATAGGAGGAGAACCCCTGCCCCATAGGGCCACCCACTCCTGCTACCTCTCTGTCTACCCCCAGTGGAGATAGAAGGGAATGATTAGAACCACTAAGAGGAATTCAGGTTAGGCAGCAGGTAGGATTTTCTAGCAATAACAAGACCTGAGAGAGACCTTAAGGGGGCAGGGAAGCCACAGTAAGAACCTGGAACTGCTCTTAACTCCATTTTTCCCATAACACATCTGTCTCCAACATGCTCCCCACAAAGCGAGGCCCCTTCTCACTCTGGAGAGTGCCTGCTCGGCCGTTAGCAGAGCCCAGACTGCCAGCACCATGTAAACTCTCCATCACCTTCCAGAAAGTCATTCCACCATCTAGCCACAATCCCTCCATGGAACTATAGTTTGAATACTAGAATTTTTCTAAATAGAAAAGGTTAAGATAATACACATGACACAATTCTAACAGCACAGAAGAGAAAGTATATCTCCTTCCTACCCTTGTCGCCAGCCACCCACCTCCTCTCCACTGATACCGGTGTCCTCCCTGAGGTACTCCATATGTATACTCCATCCAAGCACATATGTATATACCCTCCCCTTCCCTTTCAACCCTGACCACAGCCTTTTTAGCTCCCTAGACCAGGGCTGCTAGCCTGAGGTCAAGCTGGACCTCGGAGGGTCCTTACATCTACTAAAATTGCACATGGAATGGTGGCTGGGCACCTGGGCACTGTTTCCAGGAAGAAGGCTCACGTTAAGAGCCACCAGGTCGAGCCCAGTTCCTCATTTTACAGGTCAGAGAGGGGAAGGGCTATGTCCCAAGTCCTTAGCATGGTAGAGGCCCATCAGGAGAAGAATTCCAGGCTCCCCCAGCCTACATACCCAGAAGCCCCAGGTCCCCACAAGGACAGGGACTTGGAGAACTGATTGAGGCCTAGGATGCTGCGGGAAGGAGGAAGCAGTTCCTTCTGCATCACAGTCTGGTATACCTCAGGGCTGAACCCAGGCTCACCAGGCCATTGGAGTGCTTCTGAGCTTCCCAGCCTCTTTTCGGGCCCTTCCACTGCTTGGCCTTGCCAGGACCCATTGTGGCCTCAGGGGTTGGTCTCTGGGGAGGCAGGGTCTGGCTTGGGGTGAGTCAGCCCAGAGGAAGCTTCTCCGGACCTGCCCACCTCCTGCCCCTGGAGCCTGAGCATTAATCTTCATGGCCCCATTTACCCTCTGGGTGTCGGGGGACCTAGGCAGGGAGAGGCAGCCAGTCCCTGTGGCCAGCCCTCTGCCTCCACTAAGGCCTCCTGCTTGGAGAGGGGAGGCTCCTGAGTGAAGGAGCTGGGACAGGCAGGAGGAGATCGGGCAGGGGCAACAGCAGGCAGGAGAAGAGAGACAGAGGGTGGGCTGCCTTTTGGAAGCAGAAAGACCCAGACCCAGACAGGGGCAGAAGGAGTGGAGAGGGGCCTTTCCCTTGACAGAGATGCCAGGACCCAGGCCGGACACTTTGGAATGTGCTCTCAGAGTCCCACTGAGCATATGCAGATGAGGCCTGTCTGTATGCAAATGAGCCGTCTGTACGCAGATGAGGAGAGGGCATTCTCTTCTCAGGGTTACCATAGAGCCCACCCCCTCCCCTTTCCCTCAGGGCTCCAGCTGCAGGGCAGCCTGGGAAGAGGCCAGGCCTGGGGAGGGGCAACCTGCAATAGAAGGTTAGACTGCAGGAAGGACTTACCAAAGAAAAATGGCCAGTTCTGAGAAAGAAACTGGAGATGAAATAGGAACTATAGAGGGACTGCTGGGAGGGACAGGCAAAAACGATAGGGGTGGACCAAGAAAGAAGAGCTCAGGCACAGGAAAACACAGACAAAGTGACAGAAAGCTTGGAGCGGGAGGCTGGGGAAGAGAAGAGGAAGGGAACTTCCACTGAGCACCCACTACTTGCCAGAGTGCCTTCCACTCATGCTCTCACCAGATCCTGATCAGGAAGGACCCTGTGAGGTTTTCACAGACAAGGCCTAGAGAGACCGAGAGACTCGTCCAGGTTACACAGTTTGCAAGTGGCAGGGCCTGGCCTGTGGACTCCTTGGCAGTAGCCACAGCTCAGAACCTTCCTACTCCTTCCTAGAGTCTGGAACAGCTCTTCCTGACCTGAGGGGAGATGGCAGGCCTTGGGGGTTGGAGGGCTGTGCCCCGACAAGGGGCCTGCAGCACCCTGAGGGGAGGTCTGGTTGGGTCTCAGGCCCAGGCAGGTCCTGCAGAGAGCTGAGAACCGTCTGTGGAGTGTTGGGTGAGGCTCCTGGGGAGAACTGGGTGGAAAGAAACTGAGAGGGGGACATTAAGGCTGGGAAAATGCCAGGGATGATCCAGTGGGGGAAACTGAGACCCAGAGAGGTTGGGAAAGTTGTCCCCTCACTCGGCAGATCCAAGTCGAGGCTGGGCCTGAACCCAGGGCCCTGGGACCCAAGACCAGCGCCCCTTCCTAGGAGTACAAGGCTGGGGGTGGGGGGCTCTTTGAAAATAGCCTCTGCTCTTCCTCCGGTGGCCCCCCGGCCCCCCACATCCAATGGCGAAGCCAAGGCCTTTGTGGAGAGGCCATGGGGAAGAGAGGCCCCTTGTTGGTCCATTCATCGTGCCGGAGGCTCGGCTGATGCCAGCCCCCGGCACCGGCTGGGCTCTCCTTCCTGGGGGTGCCAGCCAGCCCCCACCCGCTGCCACAGCCTGCTCCCCAGCTCTGTCGTTTCCTGGAGCCTCGGGGCTTTGGCCGTGGTCCCGGCTGAAGGGCTGAAGGATGGCGGGGAGCCCTGGCCCCCACACCCCCCGCACCTCGCCTTTCACACGCTGGCACCAGAGCCGTGGGAACGCCGGACGGCAGCTGGGCACCGGTGCCCGGCTCTGCCCACCCCCAGCCAGGCCGACCTCAGAGAGGGGAGAGGAACAGGCTGCCCCCAAAAAAGCCCCTCCAGGATGGGGCCCTAGAAATCCTTAGCACTAATTATGAATCTGGGGACAAACAAGGCATTTGCAAGTCAATTAGTGACAGAACTTTCCCAGGAAAGAGCTTCATCCAGGCTCAGCTTCAGACAGGGCCACATGCTGGGTCATCTTGTCCCTCCCTCTGCCTCTGCCTCTGCCCTGCTCTGCTCGAAGCTCCAGGGACACGGACGGTACAGACAGGCCCCGTGTTCTGCCAGCCCCTATGTGGCTATGGGTGCCAGGGCCCTGAGTGGGCCTGAGGGGCAGGAAGGCAAGGCTGGGCTCTGCTGAGGTCAGCCAGAGGTCAATACAGGGCTGCCACCAGGATGACATCCTGCCAGGGCTCTGGCCTCGATTCCACCTTCGACAGAACCCGGGAGCTCCTGGAAGGGTGGCCAGACAGGGTGGCCTGGGTGGGTTGACAGGAAAGTAGAAGTCATTGTGAAAGGTCCAGGAGGAGACGCTTCCCAGAGAACACAGAGAAAGCAGGACAAGAGGTCACCCAGGGGGGAAGACAAACGGTCCCCAGGCATCCCAGCGATGGTGCCCAGCCCAGCACACAGCAGGCCGGGACTTTCAGCCCTGCATGGAGAAACCTCCAGGTGGACCAGCACGGCCACTCCCTGCAGAGAAGGAGACAGAGCACGGGCTCTTGCTCCTCCCAGGCTGAGAGGCCTTTAGCTGGGAAAGGGGTTCTCTGCAAGAAGACCCCTTAATTGGGGAGAGAAGGGAGGGAAAGGGGCTGTGTAGGGCAAAAGCCCTACAGCCAGCCCTGCCATCTGAGAGAGATTAAGGGATTATAATTAAAACGTGTTTGAGGGGCTCCAAGCAGGTGGGTGGGGGCTGGTGCTAACGATCTAATTGCTGGGGCTTTAGCCAGGGCCTGGCTGCCGGGCTGTGTAATGAGTGGAGGTGTTTTTTAAAGGGAGGTGGGTGAGAAGAGGTGGAGCTGAGGGGCCCGGAGGGGAAGGCTTTTTCTTCACTTTGAGCTCTGAGCCCAGGCGCTCTGGCCGGTCCTCCCCAGACGAAGGCTGCAGCATGGCCGAGTTTGGGAGGCTGGGGAAGACTGCTGAGAGCCAGGAATGAGCTAAGAAGGCACTTAGGGCCCCACAGAGAGGGAACATTGAGACAGGGAATGGTTGGAGGGAAAGAGGGGTGTCCGTGGAATAATTACAACAGCCCACATTAATTGGAAATGTTCTCTGTGTCAAACACTGTGCTTGATAAACTTCCATAACCCTCACTACCACACTGAAAGACTGAGAAGGAGACACCTGTCCCTAGGGCCCTGCACAGCACCTCCAGCTAAGTCTTAATAGATGCCAGGGGTCCTACAGACCAGGGGTGGCCCCTTTCAGAACTGTCCTTCTTTCTAGAAAGGGACAGATGGCCAAACCCCATCCATTCTCTGAGAACCCCCAGGCTAGGGGTCAGGAGCATGCGGGTTGTAGCCCCAAGACCCGCAGCCATGGGAGCCTGGCCTCATCCGGTTTGTGCAGCTTTGCCTCTTGCCTCTCATGCAAAAATTGCTCTGTGAACCTGGACACACATTGGTGTCACATCACTAGGCCTTGCACAAGCTATTCCCACTCCTTAGAAAGCCATCCCTTCTGCTCATTGTCCTGTGAACATCCACTCATG